GGAATGGATTGAAACTTCACACACTTGTTCTCTGTGATTATCTAAGATGATTGGCACAAGTCCCATAACTCTGATTTGCTTTTTTACATAATTATGCCCCTTTTTCGACTTAGAAATTCTTGGTTAAGTTTTTGTATGTAAGCTGGTATCTCCATAACTACTGAAGGGAATGGATTGAAACTTCACACACTTGTTCTCTGTGATTATTATGCCCCCATTTCGAAGAAAAGGGGGTATATTGCTTTGCACTTGTCGGTCCGTCGGTCCGTCGGTCCGTAGACCAAATGGTTTCCGAGTGATAACTAAAGAACCCTTAGGCCTAGGAACTTCAAACTTGGTATGGTGATTGGTCATGACAAGTAGATGACCCCTATTGATTTTGGGGTCAAGGGGTCAAAGGTCAAGGTCACATTGACCTTGTAAGCAAAAACGGTTTCCGATCAATAACTAAAGAACCTTAAGGCCTAGGAACTTCAAACTTGGTATGGTGATTGGTCATGACAAGTAGATGACCCCTATTGATTTTGGGGTCAAGGGGTCAAAGGTCAAGGTCACATTGACCTTGTAAGCAAAAACGGTTTCCGATCAATAACTAAAGAACCTTAAGGCCTAGGAACTTCAAACTTGGTATGGTGATTTGTCATGATCAGTAGATGACCCCTTTTGATTTTGGGGTCAAGGGGTCAAAGGTCAAGGTCACATTGACCTTGTAAGCAAAAACGGTTTCCGATCAATAAGTAAAGAACCTTAAGGCCTAGGAACTTCAAACTTGGTATGGTGATTGGTCATGATCAGTAGATGACCCCTATTGATTTTGGGGTCAAGGGGTCAAAGGTCAAGGTCACATTGACCTCTTGGGTAAAAACGGTTTCCGATCAATAACAAAAGAACCCTTAGGCCTAGGAACTTCAAACTTGGTATGGTGATTGGTTATGACCAGCAGATGACCCCTATTGATTTTGGGGTTAAGTGGTCAATGGTCAAGGTCACATTGACCTTGTAGGTAAAAACGGTTTCCGATCAATAACGAAAGAACCCTTAGGCCTAGGGACTTCAAACTTGATATGGTGATTGGTCATGATCAGTAGATGACCCCTATTGATTTTGGAGTTAAGGGGTCAAAGGTCAAGGTCACATTGACCTTGTAGGTAAAAACGGTTTCCGATCAATAACGAAAGAACCCTTAGGCCTAGGGACTACAAACTTGATATGGTGATTGGTCATGATCAGTAGATGACCCCTATTGATTTTGGGGTCAAGGGGTCAAAGGTCAAGGTCACATTGACCTCTTAGGTAAAAACAGTTTCGGATCAATAACTAAAGAACCCTTAGGCCTAGGAACTTCAAACTTGGTATGGTGATTGGTCATGATCAGTAGATGACCCCTATTGATTTTGGGGTCAAGGGGTCAAAGGTCAAGGTCACATTGACCTCTTAGGTAAAAGCAGTTTTTGATCAATAACTAAAGAACCCTTAGGCCTAGGAACTTCAAACTTGGTATGGTGATTGGTCATGACCAGCAGATGACCCTACTGATTTTGGGGTTAAGGGGTCAAAGGGAAAGGTCACATTGACCTTGTAGGTAAAAATGCTTTTCCGATCAATAACTTAAGAACCCTTAGGCCTAGGAACTTCAAACTTGGTATGGTGATTGGTCATGACCAGCAGATGACCCCTATTGTTTTTAGGGTCAAGGGGTCAAAGGTCATGTAACATTGACCTTGTAGGTAAAAACGGTTTCCGATCAATTAACTAAAAACGCTTAGGCCTAGGAACTTCAAACTTTGTATGATGATTGGTGGTGACCAGCAGATGACCCCTATTGAGTTTTGGGTCAAGGGGTCAAAGGTCAAGGTCACATCGACCTTGTAAGTAAAAACGGTTTCTGATCAATAACTTAAGAACGCTTAGGCCTAGGAACTTCAAACTTGGTATGGTGATTGTTCATGACCAGCAGATTACCCCTTTCGATTTTGGGATCAAGGGGTCAAAGGTCAAGGTCACATTGACCTTGTAAGTAAAAACGGTTTCTGATCAATAACTAAAGAACACTTCGGCCTAGGAACTTCAAACTTGGCATAGTGATTGGTCATGATCAGCAGATGACCCCTATTGATTTTGGGGTCAAAGGTCAAGGTCACATTGACCTTGTATGTTAAAAGGGTTTCGGATCAATAATAAAAGAACCCTTAGGCCTAGGAACTTCAAACTTGGCATGGTGATTAGTCATGACCAGCAAATGACCCCTATTGGTCAAGGGGTCAAAGGTCAAGGTCACATTGACCTTGTAAGTAAAAACGGTTTCTGATCAATTAAGTAAAAACGCTTAGGCCTAGGAACTTCAAACTTTGTATGATTTGTCTTGACCAGCAGATGACCCCTATTGAGTTTTGGGTCAAGGGGTCAAAGGTCAAGGTCATGACCAGTAGATACTTGATAACCCTTATTAATTGTTTGATCACTGGGTCAGAAGTCATGCATAATTACCTTATCACATGAATAATTGGCTGCTGATAGGGGGCATACATGTTTTACAAACATATCTTGTCTAAGATAATTGCCACAAGTCCCATAACTCTGATTTGCTTTTTTACATAATTATGCCCCTTTTTCGACTTAGAAATTCTTGGTTAAGTTTTTGCATGTAAGCTGGTATCTCCATAACTACTGAAGGGAATGGATTGAAACTTCACACACTTGCTCTCTGTGATTATCTAAGATGATTGGCACAAGTCCCATAACTCTGATTTGCTTTTTAACATAATTATGCCCCTTTTTCGACTTAGAAATTCTTGGTTAAGTTTTTGCATGTAAGCTGGTATCTCCATAACTACTGAAGGGAATGGATTAAAACTTCACACACTTGGTCTCTGTGATTATCTAAGATGATTGGTACAAGTCCCATAACTCTGATTTGCTTTTTTTGCATAATTATGCCCCTTTTTCGACTCATGAATTCTTGGTAAAGGTTTTTGCATGTAAGCTTGTATCTCCATAACTACTGAAGGGAATGTATTGAAACTTGAAGAGTTTGTACCTTTTCGGACAATTTTATGTATTCATATAGGTAAGCATTATTATACTCAATGAAACACCCTTGTGACAAATTTTCGAATAGTCGAGCGTTACTGTCCTCCGACAGTTCTTGTTTGATTTGCAAAACTATTAGTTTTAGCAATATTTCTTCCCAAAATCAAGAAGAGGCTTTTGGCATCCCACAAAATCTTTAATATGCAGACTTTCTGTGACTGCCTATTATTAAAGCAGGGGATTCCAATAATAAGACAACAATTATTATAAATTAAATCAGAATAATCTCAGCCTGTACATGTAGATGACATGCAAGGAATTGTCAACTGGCAGCATAATAAGAGAGTTGAGAAATCATGTCAAGTTGTATATACACTGTAGTATATCCATTGTCTGGCTTATAAAAGGGATTTCATTAACAATAGCTTTTTGTACTCTCTACTTTAAATCTCTTTTGATAAGAGATTTAGGTGTGGACAGTCATTGCAGGCATGTGACATGTAATAGAGTCACGTCAGGGTGCATTTTTAGTTTTTAGCTTAGTGAGAGATTTAATAAACCCCTGCTTATAATTCGGTAATGCATTTGAACAAGTTTAATAATACATAATGATATTTTAACAAGTTTGTATATTTTTGGTTCATACAAACACATTGATTTAAGACTGGTTACAAAATACGGTCTGCTGCACATTTAAAATACATTAAGGAGGTATACAGTTCTATTATAAGGGTACATTATAACACACTTATTGGATATATGAAATTAATTGGAAGGTTCACTTTTGATATAATTGCCACAAATAACTGTTAGATAGGTTATCGATACATTGTAAATTTATTATTGACCTGTTAGCTTTATGTATATAATGAATGAAAAGTTTGACCCATATTTCACTATATAGTTTAAAGAATTTTATATTGAACTCCAATAATCTTGTACACTGGGAATTCTTTTTGTGAAAATGTGAATTGTACCTTAACAAATGCCCTTGATGGTTACTTATAAATTTATCCCTATCAATTGCCCGTTAATAATGGGCATTATAAATTGCCTCTTACTTGTAATGTCCCTAAATCAAATTCCACTGAATTTGCCCCCTTTACCGATTGTGCCTATTACTTCTTGTCTACCAATTCAGCAATTGTCACACCGGTCAGTCCAGATGCTATTTTTCATCTTTTAGGAAGTTAATATGTTATTTTCTGTGGCAAATGGTTAGTACTCTGATGCCAGTTTTGATGCACAAAATGCTCAATTTTCTTTAATTGTTTGTATTTCTGGTTCACTGTGGTTCTAACACTGATTTTAACACATTTCTGGTCATTATCTGGATAATAATCAACCTTAGTGGTTTCCTGGATAACTTACAAGTAAAATTGACAATTTCACCCAAAGTGACCAACAACTTATCCCATATAATTTCTGAATCAGTGATAATTGACAAATTTTTTATAAGTATTAGACAGTTTTTAATGGCTATTAATTGACTCACTGTCAGAGATGAGTTATAACAGAGAAAATTTGCCTAAATGTGAGGTTATCTGTGGACCGAACATGCCACCCTTGGATAATTATACTTATCTTATGATCTCCCTATTCAGCTAAGTGAAAGGCAGTTCTTTTACTTTTATACCTTCCAATTTGAAACTGGGAATGTGCTTAAATGTTATTAGAGTTTATTTTCAAACAGTTAAAAAAATCAATTAGAAACAAAGTAAATAAATCAATATTAATAAATGAGTTGGAGTGGTTGTGAAGGACAAGACTATTGTGTTATGTTTCTTTATAATGTGGGTTAATTTTTGTTTAATTTGACATGAAAATGATTAATCTGTCTGAAATCTTTGTTTGACAAATAATTAAATGATAAACAAAAGATAATAGTGTGTTTCATGCAATTTTGATACTTTACATTGTATGTATATAAAAGAATATCATTCAAAGAATATTGCTTTTATATTTTTCAGGTGAATGATTTTCCGGACTTTCTTCTTGGTGATGACAAGGTCAACAGCCAGCATCTAGTTATAACTTACTGGACATCTGAGCCTGTTAAGCGGAGGTCTTTCCGCAAGAAAAAGTCACCAAGAGGATCATTGTCCGACCTTCATGGAGACCGTTCAAATGCCTCCACGCCACTCAGCATGGCATCGTCACATGACTTATGGTCGGAGGATTATGGGTACGCTAGTTTATCCAGTCTTCAGCATAACAGGCCAGACAGTCGAGGGTCAGTATCTTCCAATAGGGAAGTGCGGAAAGGTAACTTACCGAAAAAGAAGAAAAAAGGTACAAAAACACTGCATACCATTCAAAGTGAGAATGAAGAAACATTCCTTAAATCACTTAAAGAAGAATTAGAAGAAGATATTTTAGAAGATATAGAAAACCAAAGTGAACTGGGAGAGTCAGTGTCTAAGTCACATGATTTACATAATTCTAAAAATACAACAAGATCTATGAAATCTGCACGCTCAGCACGATCAAGTAGACCTTTACCTGAATCCCCTATGCCAAATACACAGGCATTTCAGAAAACAAACAATCAAACAAACCGAAACCCTGTCATAAGCACTAATGGTTTGCCGAAGAAAAAAGGAATGTCACCGGAACCACCACCAGACGATTCGGAGGAGAGTTCTTGTTGTATTAAATGTTGCTCATTCTCATTCGGTAAAAGCCGTGTGTCTCCGTTTTGTGGTTCAAGAAAAGCTGCCTCACCAACAGACGAGAACCGTTTATTCAGTGCATCGACTGTTAGTGCTAAAAAACCAGTTATGTCGGAAGTGCATATTGAGGTTTCATCAGTGGACAATGATGGCCAAGTTTTTACAAAAAGTCATCGGCCTCGGGTACCTTCTCTTAGTTCTTCAATTACTACATTAAGAGGTCATGACAGGTCTGGAACCCCTATTCAGGATGATTTTGAAAGGCGAAGGTATATATCATTGGATTTTTAAAATTCCATAAAATTATAAAAAGGTTTTTTCACTTTACTATCATTTTGAAATAAGAAATTGGCAGTATCTGTTTTTTACTTGATGCACTTAGTCTACATGTAATTCTGTCACAACTTGAATCAATTTAGTTATTAATCATCCAGTCTTTTATTAAATCAACCACTCTTTTAACAGTACAGAGTTTTTTGCATGACTATTCAAAATAAAAAAATCTGCTATTTATATTCGCCTGTGCATCAGCGATGACATCAGCGTAACACACTAGTTAAAGTTTTACTTGCAGCATATCATCTTATCAACTGATGTTTGTTTTTAACTTGGGAGCATCATGTGAGTCACTGTCAGAGGTGCATACATTTGTAACTATAACATTGATTTTTGACAGAATTATAGCCCTTTTTGACTTAGAAAATTCTTAATTAAAGTTTAACTAACATGCAATATCAATTGAAACTAAATATAAGATTTTGGGATCATTATTGAAGGTCACTATCTAAGGCCCTTAACTGTAACAAAGATTTTGACTGAATTATGGCCCTTTTTGACTTAGAAAATTCTTGGTTAAATGTTTTACATGCAATATCAGTCTCCAGAACTTCTGAAGGTATTCACTTGAAACCAAATAAAGTCTTCGGGATCATAATTGGAGGTCAATATGATGGCCCTCTTTGAATTTAGAAAAATTCTTGGCTCTTAATCTGGTTACTGATATAAATCTGTAGCGAATGGGTCATGATGCTTTCAGATTTTTTTTCCACTCTTCTGTACATTCATTTAAAGAAATTAAATTCTCTGTTTTTCTTGATATTCCCCCTCTAAACTACAAAGTATGGAATTAACTTTCTTTGTCTTTCAGTGTGTTAAGCATGGCATCAATGTCTGACTTTGGTGGCTCAACCAACCGACTGTCTCTAGTTGGTGCCGAGGGGATACCGGAAAAACGACGGGCCGTGCTCAACCTGTACCTTCTAAGCAGCGTGTCACCCATGTTAATGCTTATCAGAAGTGCTTGGAGTAACTGTTTGTTGGTAAGTAATTTCTATAAACGTGTAATTCCTACGACAAATTATTTAATTCCTGTAGAATTGGTTTTGTTTGTGCTAGGTTAATTTTTGCTTCTATTCGTTAATCATTTTATTCAAGATTTCATTCTTGAAGTGAAATGTTTTTCAGCCTGAAATTGAGAATATCTTACCAAATTCAACAACACTTTCAATTTTTATTATGATGAAGACACATTTTGAATTACATGTATAAAGAAATATATACATTTTGGACTGTGACAACTTAATTTAAAAGCTTTCCACCATATAGTGTCATTTCAGATAATGTTTGCATATTAAAACTAAGATATACATGTACATACATATATCCTAGTTTTTAATATGCAAACATTATCTAAAATGAAAGCTGCATTGTTTGTTCAAGAACTAACAATATGTGTCATTCAATTATGTGTTGAAACTTGATAGTAGAGTCTACTGAAGATACTGTTATTTGTAACACAGAAGTAATTTTCTAAAGAATTATTTCTTCAATGATACTTCAGTCACAATTATCTGTTCGCTAACCCTTTTCATGTTACTTATCAACAAATTTAATGTATTATGTAATTTTATACTTTTTATATTCCTTAAGAGTTGGTATACAGATCATCATCTTGTTGCAGTAACAGGTCAACTCCAATTAAAATCTTATAGGAGTTAACCTGTTACTGCAATAAGGTGGTTAGATGTTATAATTATGTGATTAAATGATATTTTCTTTTACAGTCATCTACACTAATGTTGAACCCAGAGTGTCTGGAAACACCAAAAGGCAGTATACTGCGTGCATCACAGAGGTAATTTAAAAAATAGTAAAAAAGATTAGTTAGATGTATATTCAGAATAAAATTTATAATTTAAATATAAGTTCTATATAGTCATTGGAGCACCTTTCAGGAAATCCGCCCTCTGAACTGAACCTATCTACTCCAACAGAATTCAAAAACATTTCTTAGGTTCTTGCCCTCAGGTGTGTCTTTTTAATAGACATGTTCATAGATGTGCTCGAGCTGACAGTACGGACATTGATCAGTTACAGAATTATGTCAGCATGAGCGATGGCCAAATGGTTAAGGTGTCTGCCCCTCAACCCAGGGATCATTGGTTTGAGCCCTAATCGGGTCACGACCATGTTTCTTCATATGACACCATTACTTGTTGGTTCCAGGAAGGGGACTCAAAAGTGATAAATATAAGTTGCAAGAACTTGTTTTGCAATCAAGCTTAAATAAATATGTTTATAACTTCATTTGAAATGTTTGTTGAAAACAATTAGCAATATGAAAATATATTGAAAACTAAACCTTTAAATAAAAATGGATTTTTTTTTGTATTGTACTTATAGGGGGAAACAGGAGCAACTGTTCAATGAGTTAAAGAGAGATCTGATGAAGCCTGACAACGAGATGGATGATCTATATTATCTGCTGAATGAGCTAAAACTTGCCACCGAGAAAAACTTCTCACTTAAAAGATTATTCTGGAAGGTAAAAAACATGTTAAAGGGGTTTATAGGAAACTTCTCACTTAAAAGATTATTCTGGAAGGTAAAAAACATGTTAAAGGGGTTTATAGGAAAATTCTCACTTAAAAGATTATTCTGGAAGGTAAAAAACATGTTAAAGGGGTTTATAGGAAACTTCTCACTTAAAAGATTATTCTGGAAGGTAAAAAACATGTTAAAGGGGTTTATAGGAAACTTCTCACTTAAAAGATTATTCTGGAAGGTAAAAAACATGTTAAAGGGGTTTATAGGAAACTTCTCACTTAAAAGATTATTCTGGAAGGTAAAAAACATGTTAAAGGGGTTTATAAAATTATTAGTTGATACCTTTTATTCTTTAAGAGTTATGCTGTTATATGTGTCATTAAACAGTATTATAGGTCTTTGATGTCTTGATAACTCTCGTACACCTTGTATATGTACACATGTACCTAAGATGTGTTTTAGGCTGATTGGATCAAATTAAGGCATCTGTGGCTAAAAATAGGTTTTTGTTAAGGCAGTTTAGGCAACAACTCGCAGCACCCAGCAAAATTACCTATGCTTCTATGCAAAGAATATAAATAACAGTTACTTAAAGAGTAGGTAAGCCTTGAACCTGAGTTTAAGATGTGATTTATATTTTATAAATTCTTAAGCCTTAAAACCTTAAACTTTGACAAATTTTGCCCTGCTTTCACATTGGAACAGTCCTTTTAAAGGTGCATGCCTCCAGATGAGTCAAAATATTTCAAGGAAAAAAAATGAACTAAAATTTTAAGAAGAAGAAAAAAGATTCAAGTAATAATTCATAATAATGTTATTTGTGATTAATGACTGATTTTGCAGTATTAATCACCATATTTCTATTGCATGACTAATGCAATGAGGGCTTTTTTTGCATATTTTGACCTTCTTGGTATTTTCATGGATTGTAAGCACTGTTTGAAGTTTGTAATACCTCAACATATTTTACTTTTAAATTCATTTTCAAAATTATCATAAAAATTAGCAGGAATCATTGGGTCATGCTGCTTTAAAGTTTAAGGGATTTCAATAATGAGCATACAAAAATTGAGATACAAACAATAGAGAGCCTGGTTAGACTGCGCGGATGTATGGTTCGAGCATGTTAAAGGGTAAAATCATGAGACATATAAAATTATGATATTTTCATTTTATAATTTTCAGACTGCTGATCTGTTTCATTTCTGTGTAAAGACATTACAACATTTTTTACCTAAATCTCCAGACAGCAAGGATAGTGAGAAAAGAACGGAAGAATTTGAGTATGTATGATAGGAAATATATAGAGGATATTATAGAGAATATTGTATGCGTGCAGGTTTAATACTGAATTTATTGAACAAGTTTAATTAAATCATATTATGGTGTGCAATATATTATTTTATTTAACAAGTTCAATAAATTCAGTATTGAACCACACAAGCATATTATTATATTTATCACATACCCAAAATTAAGACTGTTTAATGTGCAACAAAATCATTTTTATTTGACACACCTATAGTGTAACGGTAACATTAAGCTTGTCTTTACACTATGTTTGTTTATAAACACAAATGACAAAACATCAAAATATATGCAAGGCCATGCAATACCATTTTTACAGAGTCACAAAAGCGATACAGGTATGTGATGAATATAGTAATTAAAAAAAAAATCAACCCTTGCCACACTAAATATCTTAAATGGCATGTCCATCTTTCAATCTGCACAAAACCATTCATAGATTTTAGGGAAATTTTCAATCTTAAGTACTGACTGAATAGGGAACAGTGCAGACCATGGTCCCATGATAAGATGGCACAGGTGTGGAAGCTGATTTTGATCTGTACTGGTCACATTCTAAACTTTATCCTGCTGAATGTGTGTGATTGAATTTACCCTGCTTTGAATTTGAAACCTGTCAATTTTTTATTGAACGGATTTCAATTATATTATGTACATATTAATACATGTATGACAGTTTAAAAGCTTGCTGTGTTTCAATAAAATCAACCCCCCCAAAAAAATCATTATGATTAGAGGATTAGTGAAAGAAATCAAAATTTAAGTAATAATTTACATGTGCAATAAATGATTGATTTTTCAGTATTTTAAATCATATTTCTACTGCGGTACTATTATGCAGCAAAGGTTATGTTGAGTATTTTGACCTCATTTAGGTAATTTACTTGGGTTGTACTGAGAACAAATCAAAGATCAAGTTTATATAAAGTTGTATTTTATGATTTCAGATTTGTTTCACTGTTGATAGAAATATTAGGTATGATGTTCCATGAGTCAGAGATAATTAAAGAAAGAACAGCCGCTCTGAAGTCGGAAAGGTAATACATGTACTTATATTTTTAGTTACAATGACTTTTGAAAAGTTATATGGCTTTATATATAGAGCTGCTAGGTGAGGGTTATATTGCAAGCAACCATTTATACATGGCTATATAATCTGTCAAGAACCTTTATAATGAATTTATAATACAATAAACTTAATAAGATGATTAGGCTGGGGATGGCATTTAAACAGAGATTTTCCCTTGTCTGTTGTTCTGTAATGTCTGTCCATGCTGCTATGATGGCAAACAATGGAATGTGGAAACATCTCTGTCCTATGAGCATTTTTTTAGTTAATAAGTTATTAACAGATTTTTTTTTCAAATTCGTGGTTTTGCTCTATTTCTGTGATAACTGCTGAAATAATCATGCACAACATTGCTATTGTCAGTTATAAAAAAATAGAAATTTTTTGTAAGGAAGGAAAATTATAATTTTCATACTATCTGTTTAACAGGGGTCGGTCTGTTGTTGGCTTATTGATGGTACTCACTTGTAATCCTGATATGCCAGATAAAACCAAGGGTGTAGATTCCAAGGTAAGTTTGTTCAAATTATTTTTAAATTTTAACAGTTGGAAAAATATGGAGCTATATTGTGTACATAGAATTAATCTCTCCATCAGTATCATACTTTGTTTTTCTCTTATTTTCTTTGTTTCATTTGTCAATACGTACAAATGTATATCATACATTGGTTGGAGATCCTGCATGTTATAATTAAGGTTGTTACCACACTTAAGTAAAATTTTACATATGTATATAATTATGCTTCTTAAACAATTTTCAAACATCGAAGAATATGTAAAATATGTACTGCAAATATTTGTTCACATTGTATGTTATCATTAAAATATATGTATTCATTTCTTATTGAAAAATTTGACGTAGACTTTATAGAGAATAATTTTCTAATAACCTCCCTTTATTAACATGAAATGTAAATTCGGTAATATCTTTAAAAATAATGCTTTTTACGAAGTTGCAATATTGATAAATCTTCATTTGAGCATTATATTTATGATATAAAACCATAAAAGAATTGAGTTACATTAACTTTTTTTATACAAACCCAATTTTTAAGCTATAAAGCTTCATTTCTGAGTAAGCCTAATTTACTAACAGTAAATTAAGATTTAATCTATGAATTGTCAGATCTATGATGGGTCAATTTATTTTGTTTTGACTTTTCAGCAACTGCATTTTTGAGAAATTTTGTTTTACAAGACACAAAACATAGTTAAAGTGACCAGATACATTACATTGTGTCTTCTTTTTTTGCAGAAAATTCTTACCGACTTTACAAAGACAGCTTTGTCCACTGTGTTTGAACTTTTTCTTATGGCTAAACAGGTAGGTTTAAAATTAAATAAATTTTTTGTAAAACATAGCCTTTGTAGCAGACGGTAATTTTGTTTTTCAGTAATGTAACTGCAACACAACATTAAAAATTTACTGATATCATTTCTGATCAACTGTTTCTCTCACAATTTTTGGAATAAATATGTTATAAATGCCCATCGCGTAATAAACTTTTTCAATGTAAGATTTATTATTAAACATAAATTTTATAAAACACAAGGAAAGGAACTGAACAGTATATGTAACACTTGAAACTGTAATCTTTTAGTGTATGAAAGTTTGGTAAATAGTTTTCTGTCAAATATGTCGTGACAAGGTTGATTTTGTTGAGAGTATCTATTAAAAGCTGCTACCACATCTAGAAAATGTTGTGGTTTCAGAGGCAAACAAAACAAATATTTTGTCACCTTAGTGTAATAACTGGTTTAGTCCTATTAAATTTAGAAGGCTGCACTAAGGTCACATTTTGTAAGCTTTGTTCTAAAATCTTGCATTTGAATACAAATTTAGTTTGTGTTTTTAGAACACGACTGACAAATTGTGCTCTGAGGATCTATGTCTGTTACATGATGTTATATGTTATAAAGTTTTATATAATATAAAGTAATGGCAAATGTGAGTACAGTGTAACAATCACAGAACGGCCCTCTTTTGTGTTTTTTTTTACAAAATTGAAATCTTTTCAAATGAAGATTTCATGCTGAGTTAAATCTCTCGCGAAAAACCTCTCAGCAACAACCAAAATAGATGCCTCCTAAAAAGCTTGTACTGTAATAATTATACCCCCGCACAACAAAGTTGTAAGGGGGGTATACTGGAATCAGCTTGTCCGTCCGGCCGTCCGTCCGTCGGTTTTTTCTTGTCCGCCCAATAAGATTCCTTTGACCCTTAGTCTTCATATTTGGCATGGAGGTTAGTCATGATTAGTAGATGACCCCTATTGATTTTGAGGTCACCAGGTCAAAGGTCAAGGTCACAGGGGCCTTGACTTCAAAAAGCTTGTCCACCCAATAACTTAAGATTCCTTTGACCCACAGTCTTCATATTTGGCATGGAGGCTAGTCCTGATAAGTAGATGACACCTATTGACTTTGAGGTCACCAGGTCAAAGGTCAAGGTCACAGGGGCCTTGACTTCACAAAGCTTGTCCGCCCAATAACTTAAGATTTCTTTGACCCACAGTCTTCATATTTGGCATGGAGGTTAGTCATGATTAGTAGATGACCCCTATTGACTTTGAGGTCACCAGGTCAAAGGTCAAGGTCACAGGGGCCTTGACTTCAGAAAGTTTGTCCGCCCTATAACTTAATATGCCTTTGACCCACAGTCTTCATATTTGGCATGGAGGTTAGTCATGATTAGTAGATGACCCCTATTGATTTTGAGGTCACCAGGTCAAAGGTCAAGGTCACAGGGGCCTTGACTTCAAAAAGCTTGTCCGCCCAATAACTTAAGATTACTTTGACCCACAGTCTTCATATTTGGCATGGAGGTTAGTCATGATTAGTAGATGACCCCTATTGACTTTGAGGTCACCAGGTCAAAGGTCAAGGTCACAGGGACTTTGACTTCAAAAAGTTTGTCTGCCCAATAACTTTAGATTCCTTTGACCCACAGTCTTCATTTTTGGCATGGATGTTGATCATGATTAGTAGATGACCCCTTTTGATTTTGAGGTCACTGGATCAAAGGTCAAGGTCATAGGGACTTTGACTTCAAAAAGTTTGTCCACCCATTAACTTAAGATTCCTTTGACCCACAGTCTTCATATTTGGCATGGATGTTGATCATGACTATAAGGTGACCCCTATTGATTTTGAGGTCACTGGGTCAAAGGTCAAGGTCACAGGGACCTTGACAAAAAAAAAGCTTTTCTTCTCAATTGCTAAAGAATGTCCTGTCCGCAATGTATTGATTTTGACATTTTCACATTTGAAGCATGTAGAATACATAACTTAGCAATGCACTGGCTTAGTAACCTCAGATTTGGCAGGGAGGTTGTCCTTGAGCTCTAAATGGCCACTGTTGATTCTGACAAAGTGGTATGCGGGGGTATTCACGCCATGATAGTGGCAGTTCTAGTTTAGACTTTTAATTCCTTACAGGAATCCTACGGATATCTAAAAGATGGGGTGTGACTGTAGTTATTATAAATGTTGTTCACTTTTTTAATCAGAACACAAGACTTTATTTCTTAGAAATATCCTGTGATATTTATTTGATGTCACTTTTTAATTTAAGTGTAAATAAACCATTATTTGTCTGTAAGATTCTGTTAGCATTAGGATTGTTTAAAGCATGAATGTTGGTATCTTTAAACAAGCACTGAATAATGCATTTAGAAAATCCATCAAAAGTTATCACTTTTTCCCAGAGTCAATCACCCCTTACAATGCTTTAATGGACTTCTCCATCTTTCAATCTGGACAAATTCATTCATCAATTTTAGGGAAAATTTCAAAGTATTTAATGACTTAAAAAGCTTACAATGCAGGCCATGATCAGATTGCATGGATGTTGCCATACCTGATATCAAGCTAAATTGTGGTTGATTTATTTCCTTACTTGTTTCAAGCACTTCACATTTTTAAAGGTTGTGTCAACATCTCTAAATTTATATCGTCAACACTGATTTTATGGAACATTAATACACTTTAGGTCCTTCTATGTTCAATAGGATAATAAAAAGGTGGGTCGTAAGAGAATGCTTCATGTTGTATTTGAGTTGCCAACAAAAGGCACCAGTATAGTCACGCCTGATTGCACAGATGTGCAAAGCTGTAACATAGGACATTGAGATTGTCATTTGTGTTTAAAATATTCATATGCTTTAATTTAAGTTTGCATTTTGACATATGCTTAAAGGAATATGTACATTTGTACATCTATTAAACAATTACGTTAATTAATCTTTATTGGTCTGTTACTGTAAATACACTTTGATTTTGCTTGTTTACGTCACTTTCAAGTTTCATGGTTAGTTTCACTTTTATCTGCATGAAAGTGAAAATGCTAGAATGTTGTTCTTTGTATAGTTAGTGTTCATATAAGATAGATGAAATTAAACCATTTAGTGATTTTGTGCAAAATACATCATATGAATTGATTAGACCTGTTTTAAAGTCAGTGCTGTCTATTTTAATTGAATGGATTTTAGCATTATAAAATATTAACATTTAGAAAGCAACACTAAACAGTATAGAGTCTGGTCAAACTGTAATGATGTACAGTACGGGTTGGCTTGAATCTATACTGAAGACATAACCAATTTATTGTGAACACAATATAAGAGCAAGTGTTAAGGACTTAAAATGATAAATTGAATAATCTTATGACAGTTGAAAAAATGTATGCTTAACATACTGTTATAAAAGCTTTACTACATCAGAGATAAGTGGAAAGTTATTTCTATGATCCATGGACAGGAAAATTTGTACAAGATGGGTATAATGCTTTGATTTTAATGGGTAGAAGGGGTTCTAATCAGAATAAAGAGAGCTGTAAGCTGGTTAGAACTTGTACTGGTCACAAAGGCAAGTCATTCAACCCTAATACACTAAATATCTTAAATGTACTTGCCCATACTTTAATATGAACAAAACCTTTCATCATTTTTAGGGTAAATTTTAAGAAATCATCATGTGCAGTCTAAATATCAAACAGTGTAGACAGTGATCAGACATTAACACAAATGTGTGAGCTGATTTTGGTCAGCAATGGTAGCATAGGGTAAATTCAGTCACCACTAGCATACTAAAAGTTAAATATTGCTGTTTGTATTCAAATAATAAAACATCCTTGTTATTTGTGCAGGCAAACTGGAGCTTCATTGAAGGAAATTTTTACAACATAAGTTGGATGGTGTCAACACTGGAAGAGATACAGCATACTGTAAGGTTTTGAAGATTTTGTCAAGTTTTGCTCTCTTCTAGATATATCATCATTCTGAAACTTATGTGTTCTTGATATTAAAATGTATAAAAAGTTGAGATGCCTGTAGTTTAATAACATGTAGTTTCATTACATTATACTGTACATACAAAATCTGCAAATATTACTCGCTATCATCAAAAGTTTCATAAGTATGTATAATTGTTAAAAACAAAGAATTTAAAAGTGTATTCTGGGTGGGTATTCTTCTGCAAGCTAACCTTGATGCTCACTGGTCACCTTATGGCTTTAGGAAAGAATATTGTAAATGATCCATAAAATCCAAGAAAGGGGCCAGCAAAACAAAGTGATTTGTTAATTTAAAAACTATTTTCTCTTTCAATATTGTGTCTTTGTGATGCAAGTGCTAAGCTGTTTAGTTAGGGTATGAAAGCTTAGTACTTATACTAAGATGTAAGCTTGTTTCTGAAATAATGGATGAAGTATTGCATAGCTGTGGGTTTCTTTTATAATGAAAGGTCACAATATGACCTGGTCAGTTTTAAGTTAAGAGAGAGTAAGTGTTACCATTAACCTGTGGAATATATGTAAGGAATTGCCCAGCTCCATGTTGTATAGATATATTTCAAATCATAAATTTGAAAAGTGTAAACTAAATAACTGAGGCATACTAAGGCAAAAATAATTTTTAATTTGTATGAATTATGTTTTACAGGAGAAGTTTGTGGCACGTACGATTGACATGGTTCTCGAAATGATCTCACCAAGTTCCTCGGAGAAACTCTCGCCAACCGAGGCTGTACTATTGTATCAGCAGTTCTTTATCCTAGAAACTTTCCTGCAATACAGTCCAAAAGTCAAAACTTTTATATGTTCGACTTATACTGAAGAGTTCAAGTAAGTATTACTTCTGTCTAAAAAGGTTAAAGATTCCAAAGTTATGGTTTTGTTCATAACATGCAGAAGGCATGGATAGCTTATTCATTGTTTTTAGACAATTTCTACCTGATAGAGGGAAGCTTTACTCCTGAATCATTATGTATGTGTAAAAAGCGGCATGAATGTCCGAGTGGTAAGGGTTGTTGCTTTCAAACTACTTGCCCCTTACACCTGTGTGTTTAACTTTCATTTTGAGGAAGCTATCCAGCGAGCTTTTGGAATAGTGGTTGTTTTTACTAAAAGTGCCTGCTCATGCCTGAAGTAATGCATGTAAGTGCACATGAGGTCATCTGGCAATAAAAGGTGGAATGTCAGAATACAATTTATCATTAAGTAATTGGTGTGAGTTAAAACCCAAACAATAAAATTGTATAGTTTATATATTATGCAAATAACTCATCCAGAAGCAATTTCAAAGTGTATGAAAGTCATTTAATGTACATTATTATAAATCAACATAGGTAACTCTTACACATTTATATCTAGACATAAAGGAATGGTTGTCTCTCTTACATTTTTAAATGAAAGCAATAGTCACCTTTTGATACAGAAAGCAGGTTTACTCTCAAAATGTCTTCTCATTCGAGTTAAAGTAACTATGTTTAACCCTTACCACCTTAAATACCCTAAATGAACTTGTCCATCTTTATATCTGGACAAAGCCATTCATCATTTTTAGGTAAAATATCAAAATAATTACTAACTGAATGGCAAACAGTGCAAACTCTTATCAGTCTGCACTGGTGGCATGGGTAGAACCAGTTGCTGCCAGCAGGCTTAGTGTTAAACTAAAATTGAGCCGCGTCATGATAAAAACCAACATAATGGGTTTGCTACCAGCATGGATCCAGACCAGCCTGCGCATGCGCACAGTCTGATCAGGATCCATGCTGTTTGCTTACAAACCCTATTACAAGTAAAGAAACTGATAGCATGGATCCTGATCAGACTGCGTGGATGCGCAGGCTGGTCTGGATCCATGCTGGTCGCAAACCCATTATGTTGGTTTTGTCATGACGCAGCTCAATTAATAGTTGAAATTCTGAAATCCGTTGTTGCACAGTGTTTTTATTTTCACAGATATTTTGTACAGCCTCCAGTCATCATGAAGAAACTTCCTCAGATGTTCCCAGTATACCATATCCTTATCGCTCAAATAGAGGAAGTTGTGAAAAAAGTTATACCTTCAAAAACCACAGGAAAAGAAAAGTAAACATGAGGGGATCTTCTAGCAAATGTAAAGTTTATTCTACATGGAAATGAGAAATTTCAAATATTCTAAAGGCATGTGTTTTCGTAAAAATCATTGTTATTCTTTCTTGTAAATATGCCTATCCATGACATAAAAGGTTTGTTAGTAAGGATTATTTCTAATTGTGACTGTGCATGACTTACAGATCCTGTATTTGAAAAAAAATTCTGTTGACATTGATAAAATGCATTTCCGGTGAAATTTTCTTAATTTTGTTCACAACACCTTTGAGAATGTTTGAAATTTCTCTTTTCTTTGTGTAAAGTATAACTTGTTGTCACAAAATATAGAGATTTTTGGACTCTGCCTTGTATTGTGGTAATATGCAACAGAAAATAGAGAAGGAAAATGAACAACAATGAGCAGGAGTTCACAAAGATATTTCAGATATCTTTTTAATGTGCTAAAGATGGCATTAGACATTACCATTGGAATTTTTTTTCAAGTCATGACATGAATGTTTTTTTGTACAATTCATGTGCAAATTTATGTTTTTGTATGTTGTATATTTTCATTTCAAACTTTCTTATCAAAATGTGAATGCTATACAAGATTTTTGTATTGTTTATGTCTTATAAAGTAAATTGAAATTCATATAGGTTTAAAAATTTCTGAAACATTTATTTTAATAGAATTATTATCTTTCAATAGATTTGCCTGTATGTTTCGAAACTTTAAAAAATTTACCATTAATATCTGCATTAATTCCATGGGGTGTTTTTGTGATTCTTTATAATGTTGTGTCAGAGGGCACATAAGTGCAAAATATAGATCTTTTTAACAAAGATATAATTCAAAACATTAACATTTTGTAATGCTACTGAGATTATGAGTATCTGCGTGCACATAAATTTTTAATGCATGTTAATTACTTCGAAGAAATGTGTCACAAACTAAAAGTTTTTACTCTGTGATTTGTTGATACTTTTAATTAGCATTATTCCAAAATTGGTTGTCACTGAAAAAATTTGATCTTTCTTAGTACATTATTTAGTAATGTGATAAAAATTGATATGTTTAAAGTGTTAATTTCACCCATGCGGATTTGAACAATTTTAGCCTTTATCATGGCTTATGTATAGGGAAATGATTAAAATTTGTTCTTTTCTGACAAATATGAGTATTTTTTTGAAAAATTGGGATGGGGATAATTGGGAAGATGGGAGGTGGGGGTTTAAGTTCATGTGTCTTAAAAAATTGGCATTGCCATTCAATTGGATTTTATTGTTATATTTAGGTTAGTATCCTAATCTCTAGGTTATGCTATTTTATCTACTTTCATTTACGAACAATTATGAAAGCACAAAAAGAAACATGTTCATTTTCATATTTTTGTCTGTCATTTATATTGTTGCTTAAGTCTCCAATAATTTTCATCATTAGTAATGATGGCAAGAGAACATATGTTACATTAATGATATATTATGTACCTATTTTATTTATCCTCATATTTCACTGTGTACTAGATATATATATTTCATCAATCATACTGACGAATGAAAAAAAAAAAAATTTATTCATAACATTATACCAGGATCATTTTTGATAAGAATATATGTATATATATATATTTTTTGCTTGTTCGTAATGTTATGCAAAGAGCTTAGAGCAATCTTTATTAAAAAAACCTCAAAATCTATGTATTCCGTCCAGAAAATACGTAGTATTTGTTACTTTTTCATTTTCTTCTTCGTCTCATTTCATTTCATTAAATTAGAGATATATTTAATTAGGCATTGATAAAGTCATTGTCACATAAACATTGTCACCTTAGGGTAGTAAGGGGTTAACTCTTTATATGATTTAACAGGAGTTAACCTGTTACTGCACTAAAGTGACGACACATATATTTATATAGAACCTAGTCTCATGAAAAAGCCACTGTGATTATTAATTAGTTGTTAGCATAATAAAATATAAAAAAGAATATTATGTAAGTGTATACACTAGAATCTGCTAATGTAGTGTTTATTTTTATGGTCTCACTGGAAGGAACAAAAAAATGAAACTTTTACTAGGCTGTCCAGGGTGTGCATTGTTCAGGACTGATTATGAGTTTTATATTCTTGACTTAATGATAACATGTTTTAATAAATTTTATATATTAAATATACATAATTGTGTAATTTAACCCTTACGACCCTGAATATCTTAAATGGACTTGTTTTGAATTAATCTGTGCAAAACTATTCATAATTTTTAAGGAAAATTTAAAGATTTGTATTGACTGACTTACTGAACAGTGGAGTCCATTGTCAGTTGTGTTAGCTTTTCTTGGTCAACACTTTTTGCATGGAGTGAAGAAAATCTGTTGTGGACAGCAAGTTCAAGATTAATTTCGTAGAGCTTTCAACTTCTTCATTTATTGTCATTTAAGGTATTTGTTCACATTTTGAGCAAAGTTTTTTCAAAGATTTTGATATGATATTCATGTTAATTCTTAAAGGATAAGCCTAGCTTGTAGAAAAATGTTAAGGATCCTGTATGTTTTGTAATTGATATTGTACCTGAGTGTATACCACTCTTAGAAGAAATAATATATGTATATTATTATGCAAATAAAACAAGTTTCAAACATCAAAGAATATGTAAAATATGTACTGCAAATATTTGTGCACATTATAAGTAATCAATAAATTATATGCATTCATTTCTTATTGGAAAATTTGACTTTGAATTTATAGAAAATAACTTTCTTATTACCTCCCTTTATTTACATGAAATGGTAAATTCGGTAATATCTTTTTAAATAATGCTTATTTGACAATATTGACAAATCTTACTTTGAGCTTCATATGTATGAATTAAAACCATAAAAAATTGTGTTACAGGATCTTAAAAAAATAGAGTACAGACATTAAAAAATAGAGTACAGATATATTTATGATAAATTTAGTATATATACATGTATGTAGGTAAAATACTGAGACATTTGAACTTTCTACACTTCTGTTTTGAAAGCTACAGAAAACAGTAAAGAAATAAATGCACGAATATTGTTTTACACTTTCTGGTACACAGTACCGGAAAGAATTCAGTTTGAGAGAGAAATAGAGAAAAATTGTTTCTAAAATGTGAGCAAGTACCTGTCTCTGAATGCATTTGCTTTTGAAAATGCGAGCCTTTTATGTGATTTATATATATATATGATATATATATGTGCATGTATGCATAGAAAAAATTTATTTATTTAAATTATATAAACCATTTATGTTGCAATAGATCTGAGATTATTCTATAGATTTATAACTTGAACAAGATTTTTTTTTTCTCAAAAATAAAAAAGGATGAAAGTTGATGATTTTTAAATTAATATGTTGATAAGTACTATGTTTATTGTAAGGCTTCATTTTAATTCACTTATTTTGGTGTTAAAATACTGATTTTAAGCTGTTAAAGTATATATGATTCTCATGTCATGCTATTATGGCTGTAAAGCTGCACGCCAAAATATTTCAATAAAATCAAGCATGAAAAAAATGTACTAAATTTTTAGGAAAATAAAAGGATTCAAGCTTCAAGTAATAATTGACATGTTATGTGCGATGAATAGCTGATTTTTCAGTAATTATTTAATATATATTTCTACTGCGTTACTAATGCAGTAAGGGCTATTTTTGCATAATTTGACCTCTTTGGGTAATTAACATAGAATGTTAGTTCCATTGATAATGTGCAAATTGCTTCCTTTTGGTTACTTCACAATTTTATACTTTATGATTAATTTTCATTTTTTTTCCATGAAAATCAGTATGAATCTGGAGGCGTGCTGCTATAATTCAAATATAGTCCAACTGTAACTACGGACATATATATTTAATTAAATGATTTTGTAATAAAATTTAACTCTTTCTGTGCTAAATATTTTAAATTGACTTGTTCAGCTTTAATTATGAACTATTCATGATTTTTATGGTTGAATAGGGAACGGTGGAAACCATGATCCGACGGCATGGACCTGCCAGCTGATCTTGGTCTGCACTGGTCGCATGGTTATAATCTATTGCCACTAGCAGGCTTAGAGTTTATTGCAAGTTAAACACACATCCTAAAAGAAAAAAAAAGAAAAAGGAGAGAAAAGAAAAAATAGAAGTACTAAATAGAAAAATCTCAGTGTGTAGGAATTAAGGTTTAAAAATTTTGAGTTATACATTTGCATAATCCATGTCAAATTTAATCTCATCATTACTTATGTTTTCCCAAAATAGAATATATTTTTGCAACAAAATAAACATTATATTATTTAGACCGTGATATGATTATATTATTATTGACATTGAAATGCTTGTCCCCTCTTTTACAATATAAATTGTCAGTTGTATTATATATGTTCTTTTTAATGAACCAATCTCTTGTTGTTGTTGTTGTTTAATTAATATTAAGTATATTTGTCATGACATTTTGTATGAATATTTAAAGATATGAGCCGCGTCATGACAAAACCAACATAATGGGTTTGCGACCAGCATGGATCCAGAACAGCCTGTGCATCTGCGCAGTCTGATCAGAATCCATGCTGTTTGCTTACCAACCCTTTTACTTGTCGAGAAACTGATAGCGAACAGCATGGATCCTGATCAGACTGGGCGGATGCGCAGGCTGGTCTGGATCCATGCTGGTCGCAAACCCATTATGTTTGTTTTGTCATGACGTGGCTCATATTGTTTTCATTTCTTATGTTTTCTTACCAGGGTTAAGTTGTTATACAACAGATTACTCTAGTTTATTTTCTAGTATGATTAGTGTTTAGAAAGGGTCTGGCATTTCCTCCCTGAATTATGTTATAGTTATGTTTTTTGGGCATATGTTGTATTGTAATGTTAGTCATTTTCAACATATGGATTGTGTTTTTGTAGGGAGTACTATGACTGTGTGTTTAGGTAAGATTTTTCTTTAATAGAGATACTACTGCGAATTCACTTATATTCGTAGGCATGAAATTTCGTGGTTTTATCAAAAAGGGCATTTTCATGGGTTCCTAAATACGTGGATTTTCAATTTCAAAATTCAAAATATGAAATAAATAACCAAATGTAAAGTAATCTTACACTTAATTGCTGCGCATTTACTTACAGCATGTACATATCTTTCTGTATCACACAGCGCTTGTCAGTAAATTAAATCCCTACCTCTGGGCTTTCATATTACACAAAATCAACAGAAAAGCGCCGATTCATGTTTGTAATGTATAGATTACATGGCAAGAAGTATGCTTTGGGATGAAATTTCGTTGGATCTTAAATTCGTGGATTGACCTACCCACGAAAACCACGAGAATTTTGTGCCCCACGAATGATAATGATTTTACAGTATGTGACTCGTCAAATGACATGACACTTTTTTCAGTCTATTCCCAAGGTGGAAGCAAACTTTAACTGTTTCAACTTGGTAAATAATTGGAAATATGGGTAAATGGCTGATAACTATATTGTGAAAGGTAGTGCACTTTGAAGCTGAAATGTGAAAAGTTTGTTTGCACCCCGGATTAAGGTGGAAAAACTCCTCATTTGCATATTTCCAGATGATATCTATTCACTGATGAAATTTTCTTTGTCCCTGATGTGTAATATATGACAAAGCTCTTGTTTATTCAGTTGTCTTGAAAAACAAGTTATGAGTGTTTTTCAGTGAAGATTAATTTGATTCACCAGTCATTTGTTACTGACTTGTGAATTATCCTGATAGGTATTGTAAATAAATTTCTTTGAACCGTCCAGCTTTATTTTAATTTTTACAGTTTTTATTGAACTTTCTATAACTTTATCTCATGTGCATTTTTTACATTATTTATATAGATTTTTTTTACAAAATGCTTTTTGTATATTTACATTTTTATTACAAAAAAATAAAAGCATTACTATAAAAATTATTTATGGAAATGAATTTAGTACTCTTTGTTTCAACCTAGTTTTTGTAAGTTATTTATTTTTATACGCCTGTAACTTTGGCCTAATTATGGTGCTAGTCTGACCATCAGTCTGTCTATCTGTCTTTAAGCCAAATCAGTGTCTGATAAGGAATTAGCCTATGCCAAGGTACATTGCCCATTGCAAGTTGTTGACCTTTATTGATTTTGAGGTCATTCAGCCAAAGGTCAAGGTCACATAGACACTAATGTAATAGCCTCCAGTGAAGGAATTGTTCTGGATGTTTTCTCTTGTAGTCTTTGAATTGAGTATAATTTTGGATTTTAAGACAGCATATACTTTGGGTGTATAATGCGCCAGCACATGGAGCTCTTGTTTTTATAGTGTTAATGACTTTTGTGTAAGCATACCAGGATAAAAATTGTGATTTTCAAGGTTTTATCATTAATTGTTTGTCTCAAATTTGATATTTAAAAGATACAGTGAGCCTTAATGTTTTAGTTGCTGAAAATGATATATGTTTTTTGTTACTGTTTCATTTTAAGCTCAACTATTCAGAAATTATGGAAAGCTATTGTACTCACCCAAGCGTCAGCTTCGTACTTTGGTTAAGTTGTTGCGTGCATTTAATATCTCCAAAAATTCTGCAAGAGAATGAGTTTAAACTTCTCATACATATTTGAGAACATAATATAAGGTCACTATATAAGGGTCTTAATTCTAACATGGATTTTGACAGATTTATAGCCCTTTCGCCACAAAGAAATTTTTACATTATCAAGGCTCTCGTTGATTTATTAATATTATAAATATAATTAAGTCGGCTGTCTTTTGACAGCTCTTGTTTTAGCTTTTCCTTTCAGATGCCTGCAGTTTAGTACATGTACATATTGAGAAAAACAATAAGTATTGATAAAAATTTCTTTATCTTTTTAAAAGAACCCTTTTTGAAACTGATTATAAAACTTGAATTTTGTATTTCCTTTATAAATGTGCAAAAATTATATTTGTTTAATTTTGAACAAACTTCTTTTTGTATCACTTGTATTTATATGGTTATTACATTGACTTTTTAGTCTATTTGAAACTTAGAATTTTGTGTAAATTGTTGATGTTTTTATCAACATATGTTTTAGTTGTTTATGAGAGGGAGAAGGAGAGTTGTAATATTTTGGTTTAGATGCTTACGGTGATCTTCATTTGTACTAATTGGTTAATCAAATCAGTGTCAAAGTCACTACGAAAAGCAATTATTTGCCAATAACAATTCCGATGAATAAAAATTGTAAAATATCTTAAAGAGCGCTAGCATCATTTATGTTTAAAATGTTAGCTATGTCTGAAACTGCCCCTATATGACAGCAAACTTCTTTGACAAAAGCAAGGTGAGCATTTAGTTTTTGTTTGTAGCGAATTGATAAAAAACGTTTAAAAGAAAATTACAACATAACCGTTAAGAATGTACAATGTATATGTGATGTAGGCTTACAGTACAATTATTGTCAACTGTAAAATGAGTTTGGTTAATGAGTTTTCTATAAAGCTTGGGCCAAGAAGTCAATTCACTCAGTTCAATAAAGTGGTGTCCTTGCGGATATTATGTCTGCCTCTGAACCAGGTGGGTTCAAGCCCAAATTAGTCCTGACTACCATGATTCTTTGTACTACGTGTGTACTGGTTAGGCCTAGGAAGCAGACGCGATATGTTTAAATAAGCATCAAGCGTCGCCACAATCCAGATAAAATATATCTTTTTAACAACACTAATTTGTTAAGTTGTCCTGCGGAGCACGTATGTTTAGAACCACACTCTCCGCCATCTCCCCTTTTTTTGGAAAATGTGAAAGTACAATCTGCCTCTCAACCTAGAGATCATGGGTTCGAGCCCTACTCGGATCACGACCATGTTTCTTCATACTACACCAGTACTGGTTGGTTCCAGGAAGCGGACTCGAAAGTGATTAATATAAGTTGTAAGAACTTCTTTCGCAATCGAGCTTAAATAGATATGTTTAAACCAAAGTACAAAATACTTAAAACAACATCAGAGTATTGGTAAAACTCGTTGAATTATTGCCACATTTGATATAATATTAACGAATGTGATACTACTACCCTTTAGTGGGACATTTAGTCCAAATGAAGATCTACCGATGCTTACATTATACTTATACTTAGAAAGATATTTCGATTTCTTAATTTGCATATGCAAAAGAAATAAAGAATTCTTAAAATATTGACTTCATTTTTCTTTATCTAAAATAAAAGAGTTTAAATGATCATTTGTCTCTCACCACTGATTCATATATCATGGGATTAGTGGTCATTAATTCTGGGAGAATTGGGACTTACTGGTTAGTTATCAAGATAAGCCGGCAAGGTCAATGTCGTCAAGATGTAACCAAAATGTGTTAAAGTCAGCGTAAAAACCAGACAGACACACCATGAAACAGCTTTTATTCAGCCTATATTTGTATATGCAAACTCAAACGTATTTGAGTATAGATGACCGTACCCTTGATATACATGTTTACAAAAAGGAAAAGAAAATTAAGATTCATTTAATTCATATCTACAATTTTAAAGGGAATTGACAAAATATAGAAATTATGTACTCGCATAAGTTTCCTTATATAATCTGTAACAGATTAAAGTATCATTCTCATGGACTTATTCAGCCCCTGACAATGTTCAAATCTACTGTTTGTCTAAGTGTTATGAACTTTTTAGCTCGACTATTCGATAAGAATAAGTAGAGCTATTGCAGTCACCCGAGTGTCGGCGTCGGCGTAACCACTTATGTTAAAGTTTTTGTAATAGTTTAAATATTTTCAAAGTCCATAGACATATGGCTTTGAAACTTTGCACACTTGTTCACCATCATGACCCCAACCTGTAGACAGGAGGAGGTAACTCTATCAAGCATTTTGACAGAATTATGCCCCTTTTTCGACTTAGAATTTACGTTAAAGTTTTTGTAATAGTTCAAATATTTTCAAAGTCCATTGACATATGGCTTTGAAACTTTGCACACTTGTTCAACATCATGACCCCAACCTGTAAACAGGAGGAGGTAACTCTATCAAGCATTTTGACAGAATTATGCCCCTTTTTCGACTTAGAATTTACGTTAAAGTTTTTGTAATAGTTCAAATATTTTCAAAGTCCATTGACATATGGCTTTGAAACTTTGCACACTTGTTCACCATCATGACCCCAACTTGGAAACAGGTGGAGGTAACTCTATCAAGCATTTTGACAGAATTATGCCCCTTTTTCGACTTACAATTTACGTTAAAGTTTTTGTAATAGTTCAAATATTTTCAAAGTCCATTGACATATGGCTTTGAAACTTTGCACACTTGTTCACCATCATGACCCCAACCTGTAAACAGGAGGAGGTAACTCTATCAAGCATTTTGACAGTATTATGCCCCTTTTTCGACTTAGAATTTACGTTAAAGTTTTTGTAATAGTTCAAATATTTTCAAAGTCCATTGACATATGGCTTTGAAACTTTGCACACTTGTTCACCATCATGACCCCAACAGGAGGAGGTAACTCTATCAAGCATTTTTTTTACTATCAAGCACAAAGAATAGTCGAGCGTTGCTGTCCTACCGACAGCTCTTGTTGCATCTTGCAGTGGTTTGTTGTTTCTACTCGCAGCTAAAAGTCTGTGGTTGAGGTTTTGTGATTTGTATTGGCCATGTAAGACACATTATGATGTCTCATTTTCAACGAGTACACTGTATGGGTCCTGCGACACAGTTCGCCAACAATTCTGTTTACATCATCTCACAGTTATTTTAATCTTTTCGGAAATGATGGTCCGGCTTTTGTTCTCGCAGAAGGTCGTATGAAGTATTTAAAACAGTTTAAGCAGTTATGTTCTCATTGTCTTTCAGGGGAACTGGAAAACATACTTCATGGTATGAGCTACAAATGTGTTTTTAGGGACTATGCTGTTCGGGTTTTTAATATTATTTTATAGACATGTTAACCATTATGAGATGTATTTTTGTGCACATAAACTGGTTTCTAGGTCAAAGGTCATGGTTACACTTGGAGATAACAGAAATAAGTTTGTCTTCTATTAATATTTTGCGCAAATAATCACAATCGTGAGGCGATGTTTCTAGCGCAAACTTAGTTTCCTGGTCAAGGTTAATATCACACATAGATGTCAAAGATAGATAAAATATGAAAATGTAAGTGTGGACCGTTTAGTCAATATGAATTTACGGACTCTTGCACAATTTTTAACGATCATTAAACTGAGAGCTAAACTGGTAACCCAGGTTCATATATGTGTGCAATGTCAAGGTCTTAAGAAATAATGAAAAGTCCAGAATTTGTCCAGACTGTGTCTTTGACATATATTGAGGATTTCAGTATTAAGTTGATCCAAATGTTAACCACCATTTGACGAGGAGCCAGAAGTCAGGGTCACTAATCAAAGGAAACTACTCCACGGTATATCTATGTCATATTCTTAATTGAGGACCCTATATAACTTTGACGAATGGCGTATTTTGTGTTAATGGCAACGCTATTTTAAGTTATTCTATAATTTCTGAAATTTGTAAGTGTTAATTCGTAGCAATTGTTTGATTTCTAGCTCACCTGACCATGAAGTGGTCAAGGTGAGGAAAAATGATGAGTCTATGTCCGGCGTCTGTCGTCGTGTGCTGTTCCTCGTCAACATTTGGGTTTTTAACACTCTAGCAGTCACAGTTTTGATTGGATCATGATCAAACTTTGTCAGAATATTTTTCGCAATGAAATACATGTCAAGTTTGAATATGAGTCATATCCGGTCAAAAACTAGGTCACTAGAGCAAAAAATAGAAATACACTTTATTGGCTGAAGTTTTGATCCAAATATTGTGGAAATTGATCCGCAAGATTGTTTTGATGATTTCTAGATCAAGGTGGAATACGAGTCATCTCCGGTCAACAACTAGGTCACAGGACCTAAAAATAGAAGAAAAAAACTTGTTAACACTATAGTGGCCGCAGTTTTGATCCAAATATTTTGGAGATTGGTCGGTGACTTCGAGGTCAAGTTCGAATAAGGGTCGTCTCGGTAAAAAACCAGGTCACAGGAGCTAAAAATAGAAAAATCTTGTTGACACTCTAATGTCTACTGTTGTTCCCCAAAATCGTGGAAATGAGTCGGCAAGTTTGTTTTGATTATTTCTAGGTCAAGTTCGAATATGGGTTACCCGGGGCCAAAAACTAGGTCACACTGCCAAAATATGGAAAAAACATTGTTAACACTCTAGAGGTAATATTTTTTACTCTATTGTCATCAAACTTGGTCAGGATGCTTGTCTAAGTAATTGCTCGTATGAGTTCGATGGGTCAGGTGCGCGATCTAGGGTCATCTAGGTCCTCTTGTCTTATTATTGTTCTAAATTAATTAAAGTTACACTCCCTTATTCTCATCAACTGATTCCGTTAAATATTCCCAGGCACGGACTCCTAATTTATTGACAACACGACACAATTTTCTTAGTGGAAAAGTCATTTTTAGTTGGCCTTATAGGCGAATGAAGCCCCCGTACCATAAACCAATCGTCCGAGCAATACACGTTCATAAAATATTTACAATATTCTAAAACATTTAACTTTTCAACAGTCTTTTATATTAATTTGTCCAAACTTAGAAAACTTTCTAAACGCCTCTGATATCTTGGAGATTACAGATCATGAATATTTAAAGAGTCGTTTATTAATACGACTTGTGCTTAGGAACTGAAAATAGCAAATGGTAACCAAATAATTCTTAAAAAAAAACTTCGTTTTTCCCCTGATCGTTTCTGTCGATTTCATGCTCATTATTCTTTATAAAAAAGTAATTAAGATTTATATAAATGATATTTATTTAAAGAATAAAAACACTAATCACTTGTAACGTGATGTTACAGTGTTTGAGTATCAAAATTGAAGAATAAAATAGAAGCAACAATTATTAACAATAAACGCATTTTAACTTCACACGGTTGCGTGTAATTATAACAATAATTTACAATCCATGCAACTATAATCTACCTACGTCTAAAACACAACTGAACCGGGAAATCAATAAATAAATAATAATGATAAAATACGCGAATAATATTTTTCGCAACGTCGGAGCTAGTTTGTACTGGTATAACAAACAAAATATATGGTTCGAATTCTTAAAGGCTATATATGTAATATATCGGATATCTTTAATGGTATTTTTGCATAGACATTGGTAATTCTGATA